CTCCAGCGTCGCAGATGCGCCTCTAGTCGCTGTCCCGAAGACACCCACTAGAGGCTGGCTTAACCCCAAATGTAAACATAGCAGTTTCTGTGAAACTGCTATGTTTACAGCAGGCAGGGTTAGCCCTAGAAGGACCTGGCACCCACTTCATTTTTAATTAATTGGGCTCAAACTAGTGAACAGAAGGGATTATTATTAGTATTGGATGCCGAGACGTCATTTCGATCACTTGAACTGGACATATATGCGAGAGGTACTGGTGAAGATGTGGTTTCCCCTACCTTTTATGGATAGTATCTTAGCCTTATAATTCACACCCTTCAGCGAAAGTATTCAATTTGGGTTTTCTGTCAAGTTCATTCCATATTACTAATGGAACTAGGCAGGGATGCCCTCTTTCTCCATTGATCTTTATTTTATGCCTGGAACCCTTAGTACGACATATTCAAAAGCATAATACAATACGATTAGATTCCTGGATAAATTAGGGGGTTCTATCACTTGGGTCTCTATACATCCAGGCAGGCATTAAACCATTTCCTGAACTTCAAAGGATATACTCTTTACCATCTCGGGAATTATTTACATACCTGCGTATAAAATATATTATGAGTACAACATCACTCACAATGCAGGATAATGCACATTTTGTGCATAAATGCAAGAGGAAACTCCTGAATCTAAAAAGCTTTATCCTTGTACTATAACACCCTTATAACATTGTGAGATAATGATAAAACACTCTATATGCAACATTGGGACAGAGACTTGAGTAAACAACTTCTACCCACAGACTGGTACCAGGCATTAAGGACCACCAAACAGCCTCTAGTAGCCTAGCACATTGGGAGGCCTATTGTAAATTAACTATGAGATGGTATATGGTACCTGCGATATTAGCTCGTATATATCCTGGCACACCAGACATTTGCTGGAGATGCCAGGGACAAGAAGGTACCCTTTTACATATTTTTGGGGAATGCCCAAAAATTACTCCATTATGGAATGCTTTGGAAAAGTTTTTTAAGTTGTCCTAGAAAGTGGACTTTCCAAGGTTCCCTGAATGCTATCTTTTGCATATGTTTCCAACCTTGATTACTGAAGATGTATTGATAATAATTATACATTGTTTGATAGCAGCAAAAACTGCTGTAGCACATAAATGGAACCAAGTAATAGCCCCTACTTTGACAGAGGTTATAACCCGTCTTGTCATCTCGAGTAATTATGAACGAATGGTGAACTGTCTACAAGGGTCTGAGGACAAATACATAAAATGGTTGCAGCGATGGATAATGATTAGAGATGTGCACATGATAGATATAGGACATTACAAAATAAATTAGTTTAATAAGCAAGAATTTTAAAGGACCACTCTAGGCACCCAGACCACTTCAGCTTAATGAAGTGGTCTGGGTGCCAGGTCCAGCTAGGGTTAACCCATTTTTTCATAAACATAACAGTTTCGGAGAAACTGCTATGTTTATAAATGGGTTAAGCCTTCTCCTATTTCCTCTAGTGGCTGTCTCATTGACAGCCGCTAGAGGCGCTTGCGTGCTTCTCACTGTGATTTTCACAGTGATAGCACGCAAACGTCCATAGGAAAGCATTATGAATGTTTTCCTATGTGACCAGCTGAATGCGCGCGCAGCTCCTGCCGCGCGTGCGCATTCAGCCGACGGGGAGGAAAAGAGGAGGATCAGAGGAGGAGAGCTCTCCGCCCAGCACTGGAAAAAGGTAAGTTTTTATCCCTTTCCCCTTTCCAGAGCCGGGTGGGAGGGGGACCCTGAGGGTGGGGGCACCCTCAGGGCACTATAGTGCCAGGAAAACGAGTATGTTTTCCTGGCACTATAGTGGTCCTTTAAGTTATATAACAAAAGTAAATAATTTTTGTTAAATACGTGCAAAATGGTCTATACGGAGAGAGAATATGTTATAACTCATAGAATATTGTTTAGAACATGGGAAATTTTTCTAATATATAACTTAAGTAAAATGGCTTAATCTGGTTTTGAGTTATCCCTGATTAATTCCACACCTTTATATATTCACAAGGCTAAGTGTTGGAAGTAGCATTTTAAAGTCATAAGAGTATATCAGCACACTTTGTTTATCTGGCTCAGGTTAACACTAAATTATTTTGGGATTAACCTGCCCCAGCTCAGGTCCTGGCCCTGACCCCAGAATAGGAAATTAGCAGTTAGTATTTACAAGATTTATTAAGAGGTTATTAAGAGGCTATTACCCCTCCCCCCCCTTTCCCTTTGTTTACCCTATGTTATGTTTATTATGTATGGTTATAATGTTTTGTTTTTGTTTTTGGAGTCATCTATGCCACTACTAAACAAACTAACTGAAACCTTTCAGGATTAAATAATGAAGTACTATTGTAAAGATGTATAAAAGGTGATAAAATATATGAGACACAGTGTAACATAAAGTACATTAGTCTGCAGACTTAGATTTACTAAGGGGTCTTGGTTACTAGTGAAATTTGTACCCCAATGTTAAACAGGCTTTACCAGTGTATTATATTATGTCTCCAGTGAGGGTAAAATATTACTGTATTATTATCTGAATGGAGCTAACATGATAAATAATATATACATTTCTTTGTGTTTTTGCTGTGTATATGTGCTTATGATGTGTAGAAATACCAACTGTGTGATGCATAATGTTACTGCGTTCACATGTATGTTGTATTAAATGTAATTTTGTTTTAGTGTATGTGATGAAACTTAAAATAATAAAAAATAATTATACATGAAAAAAAAAGAAAGCCAAAACATATTTTAAAGAATATCAGTGGAAACACTTTTATAGAATAGCTTTTTTTGTGAGAAATTGTATATTTATATATATTAAAGGATGTGGTTATATAGGTTACAAATGTCTATATCACATTGTACTTGTAGCCTCCCAGTGATCCTGTATCATTTTGTCTATAGGAATCTGAATAGTTTATTCTCTTAGGGGATGTACTTTCGTTATGATATCCTGTCCCCCCAGATATTCTTTGGTTAAAATGCCATTGCCCCTGAAGCCTAAAAATGCCAGTTTATTGATCTGGTGGTTAGCTAGACTAAAGCTATGGATTTGCTTTGTTCACTTTCACCATCCCTTTGTGAAAACAATGTAATTGGTCATCTGCCTATGGCCCTGTTGGACCTTAATCCTTCATTGGTGAATCCTCCTTTCACATTGGTAGACACTGTTGTCCGTCCTAGGAATGTGTAAGCCTAGGATAGCAAGATTTGTTGAAAATAATACTTGAGAAAATGCCAGAAATTATTTAACCCAGTAGCCATAATAATATAGACTAACCTAGCATTTTATATAATTCAAAAAGTGCTAGAGATAAGTTGTATTTTAGTATGACCGTTATCCGAAAGTGCAGAGTCAAAGCCACCATATCTTGTTTTAACTAAGATTGTAATTTATAAATGCCTATTCACTCTTTTAATTTGCAGAATTAAATGAAATTTTTAATTAGGCTTACATAGCAATGGTTCAATCTTGCATTACACCCCAGTATTAATTTAGCTGTGCCATGATAAGCATCATATCATTTTGTGCCTTATAATGCTGAATGAATCATGAAGCAGATACAGATGCACATAAAGCACACAGACATATATATATATATATATATATATATATATAAAATGTGATTCTGTGTTAAACTAATTTGCATATGCCCACACAGAATCCTTTGCGGTACTAACATCACTGCAGATGTGTGATTTTGACTGGTGTGCAGATATTTGTTTAACATTGTATTAACTAACTAATGTATATATATATATATATATATATATATATATATATATATATATATAGTATGCTTCCTCTTCACTATACACTATACGTATTTGGCAAAATGTAAGCAATTTGGAGGAAAAGCAGCAAGTTACCATCCCTACCCCTCATATAATCGCAATAAATAAAAATATAAAATGGTGATTTTATTTTTTTTGTTGTAATTCAACAAAATATGGCAGTATTTGTAGAGTATTAATATCTCTGCAAGCCACTTTATATAGAGCACCAAAGCTCTTTAAGTTCCATAAATCATATGGTGTCTCTTTCAGATTTATGTGCATAGTTAAAATGCTATGTGCAGTTTATCAAATACTACAGTTTCCTGATAGCCTGCATTATGCATTATAGCTATTTTTGTATTCAGCTCTTGAGTACAAATGCTGTTTTTAATATTAATTATTTACTGTACGTCTAATCAGATGTGTTTAATTTGGAATGTATATTTAAGCTTCTATGTAGCATGCTGCATTATTGCCTGTGACATGTTTTTTATTTCCAGGCTCTAGGGATTCCAAACAGTTCATTTGTCATGCTAACCTTAATTAAGCATACTTGAGTCAAACATTAGCTTATCACATGGAGAAACTCACCTTGCTTGTGTTTTACAGAAAATAAGCAAGAAATGCAACATTTCTAGTGTCTCCAAAGACAGGGAAAGAAAACCATTGCCATTTTATAAAATTAAATTCTATCTTAAAAATAATTAGATACTATTAACATAATATTCAGTATCTTGTAATCACCTCTTTGAATTGATAATTTGCGAATAGGCTAGAACGGAAATGTATACAACTGGCAACCAGTAGTGGAATTATCACGGTCGCAGGGATCGCAGCTGAAACCAAGCCCGTTACTCCATGGGGCCTGGCTGCCTTGTCGACCCCTGCTGTCTCTGCAGTGTGACAGTGAGTTGTGTATGGAACTGGAGACACTGTCTCTTTAATTGTTAAATAGGCAATATTCAGACTATTCAGAAGTCTCTACTTCCAAACTACATTTCGCTGCCCACACCTTGTGGAGGCAGGTGGGAGTTGTTGTCCGTTTCTGCACTCTCTATGCTCTTACCCTCTCAGGTAGGAAATCCATGTCCTTGCATGCTCTGCATTGTATTTCCCCCTTTGGACACCATTGGTGGCTGCAGAAAGACTAGAAAATAGGGCTCCATCGGCCAGTGGGTTATGCTCGGCCGCCAACCCACAACCCACAAAATTCAGCAGGAAAATTGCTCTGCAGTGGCAGACACAAGAGGGGACACGGCAGTCTTTGAGGAGGTCATGATGGATATTGGCTACACATGTGTAACAGAGATTCAGGAGCAACTTGTTGCTGCCTGGAGTCCTGTCATTATTTTACGAGCATTGAGTACGCTCACTGGCCTTCACTGTCAGTGTGGCACAGGTAGTGAAGTTCTCACAGGTAGTGGAGTTCTTCATGCAATGTCTCACTTTACACCTGTCTATGTGCAAGGTGTACACCTGTCCATGTGAAAGGTATACATGTTCCAGTGTGCGAGGTATCACTTTACACCTGTCATTGTGCAAGGTTTCACTTTACACCAGTCGGCGTGTAAGGTCTCACTTTACACCAGTCAGCTTGCAATGTCTCTCTTTACACCTGTCAGTGTGCAAGGTCTCACTTTACACCAGTCAGTGTGCAATGTCTCACTTACACCTGTCCGTGTGCAAGGTCTCACTTTACACATGTCAGTGTGCAAGGTTTACACCTGTCAGTGGTGGAACAACAAGGGTCATTGAGGTCACAAATGCTCATGTATGTGTCTGTCAGTGAGTATGTTTTTGACAGTGAGAGTGTGTGTCAAATCAGTGAGTGTGTCTGTCAAAAAGTGTGTGTGTCTGTCAGTGAATGTGTGTATGTCAGTGTATGTCTGTCAATGAGTGTGTGTTTCTGTCAATTAAAGTATGTGATGTTTAAACAGTTTGTGTGTGTGTGTGTCAGTGAGTGTATGTCAGTGTATATGTATCAGTGAGAGTGCAAGGGGGACCCTGCTACGATTCTTGCACCAGGGGCCTTTGGTTCCTAGCTATGCTACTGCTGGTAACATAGAGCATCTAACATCTTGACAGTATCTGAATGTATGCTATAGTACCAACATCATTGTCAAATAAGTTTCCTCTTATATTATAAAAGTATGTCCTCAAAAGTACAGTATGAAATTCGCATTTCAGCTCTGAAAGAGGGCATTTGGTCAATAAAGCCATAGGTGAGCTATAGCTGGAGTAGAGTATTTGTTTTGCAGAATTTTGCAAATTAAAGACATTCATTTGGGCAGTATCTCCTAATTAATTATCTTTGATTATGTGCCTGGCTTTGGAAATATCTTTAAAGTAGGCAAAAAATATATCTTAACAAACTGTTTCACCCAACAACCTATGTTTTCCCTAGATCTATTTGGCATTAAAAGTTATAAGTGATCCAGCAGTATCGATGAGGGATGTAAGAACCAAAATAGTAAAGGTAGATACAGTCATTACAAGAACATACTGAAGAGAAGCTAAGCCGTGATTGGGATTGAACAATATGGACAGCTAAAGCTACATTGGCACATTATTTAAGTTTACTAGTAGTGAGAACCTACTAAATACCCTTCTAGGTTTCTGTTATGTGGGGCACACCATAGCAAATCTATATTTTCTGTTACATCACTATTACTACTTTCTGTGTTGAGGAGACCCAAGTCAACAGTATTATACAATTCCATTCATCTTCTAGTCTAATCACAAGAGGGGCGTAAGCCAGATTGGGTAAGAAGTGGGTCTGGGAATACCAGGAGAGTCTTGAAGAGTGATGGCAAGTTCTGTATTCCAACATACTCCTAGTGTTACAGTCCAGGCGTATTTTAGAACTGGTTGGCTTCAAGTTGACCTTTCCACTTTTCACATGCTTATTTTTATTATTATTTATAAAGCGCCAACAAACTTTACAGCGCTGTACTAACAGACAAGTATTCATAACCAGACAAGTATTCAGGGTGGACTAACAGACAAATATTCATAACCAGACAAGTTAAACGCACAGGATGGATCTGCTCAAATTAGCTTACATTCTAGAGGGTGTGGGATAAAGTATGCTAAGTAAGCTGTTAGCATAGTTTTCAATGAGGGCTTTTTTTTTGGATGTCACAGTTGCAGGAAAAGAAGCAAGCTGCAGGGAAGGAAAGCTATTAACAGTGTAACCGACACCTTCAATCTCATCTCATTGATTGGACTCCAGTTGGCTGACATCTCACTCCAATTAGCTCTTGGAGATGTCATTAGTCTAGGGGTTCACAAACTTTTTCCACCTGCACTGTGAATGTTTACATGGTGTGTTCAATAAAAACATGGCAACATTTCATTCTTTGTGTGTTATTAGTTTACGCAGACCGTGATTGTCTATTGTTGTGACTTAGATGATGATCAGATCACATTTTATGACCAATTTGTGCAGAAATCCATATCATTCCAAAGGGTTCACATACTTTTTCTTGTAACTGTATGTTGCAGTTATGGAGAAGTCTTGAAGGTGAGCATCAGGGGTGAGAGTACCACTAAGCATTGTTCTGTATACACGATCAAGGCCTCACGGCCAAAACATTGTATTTTGTTTTTGTTTTTGTGATGCCTGTGGATTTCTACTTATTGTTGATATTGGTGGTTTGAGGACCTCCACCACAGAGCTCCAGTATAAAACTAGTAAGTCCTAACATACTCATAGCTTTGCTAACTATATGCTCATATATAACTATTATATGAAAATGAAAATAAAACTTAAGCAGCTGCATAAATAGTAAACAAACCTCAACCTAGTTTTAATAAACCGTTCAGTCCCTGTCCATGTCTGTATTTATTTGTCATTTTCTTCTAAATCATCTCTCTTGCTTTTACCATATTATCTCCTTTGCTTGTGATGGATTAGAGAATTCATTTTTTTAACATGTTTATTTATTAACCATTAGGGAGCTTTCACTTTTGGAGTGATATTTTCTACTCTATTTACTTGTTTGACACATGGGAGCAATACTAGCCACTGGCATAATATTTCCAGCTTTGACCCTTTCATTGCTATGAATTACACCCTCATTAAATGAGAGTCATTAAAACTGCTTGGATTTTCTTTCCTTAGCCATTACATTACATTACAGAGGATGTTTCTCTTACTGTGAATGTAAAGAGTCTTCTTGCAGCTTTAATAACATGCATAGGCTAGCTAGCTGCTCTGATGAATAACAGCTTGTTTTCTGCATTACCTGTTATTTTCCAATTATCCAATAACCATAGAAAGGAAGATGAGCAATATAAAAAATACTTACAGTCAATAATACTAATGAAAATACAAACTTCATTCAATTAATTCACAACCATGACAGCTTGACATAAGGATACATATGCTAAAATTATCAACAAAAAGCAGGGACTGCACTCATCCAGTGGAGCCACAATTGTTGCTGACCGGATGGAAGTCAACAACACCTCTCTATTTGTTAAAAATCCCAAAGAAGTCTGGACACACAATGGCTCAGAAAGCACCATCTTTATTGGATCTCTGTGTTCAACAGCAATGTTTCAACGTCACAATGAGGTCCTTGTCAAACTTTGGGATTTCAAATGTCATTTCTAGACATATGTTATCACCATTTCTAAGCTAAAGCATGGGGCCAAGCAGCAAGTACTATAGCAAAAACTATAATAGAATGGAAAGAGAAAAGTTGGAGAAAAAATCAAGAGAAATAGAATAGTTTGTTCAGGAGGAGTAAACCACAGTTAAATGGATGTAATGAGAGTTTACACAAACCAATGGATATATTTTCTGTATAATCACATGACACAGCACTCGGAAAAGATTGAACTGCTAATTGTGATATTCACGATTAGAGAATTTTGGGTTCCTGTCTAGTAGCATATCATGCTGCCACTAAGCTTAGACTGAGGTAGAAGCTACAGAATGTTTAAGTAAAGTTCAGTACTTACATGGTTAAAACTACTGTGCAACTATCTTGGACCAGGGCCCATGGGTGGAATGTCAGGAACGCCCACTATTAGATAACATGTGTAAGACATAAGTTTTAGCTTAATAATTGGATATAACAACAGTAATGTCTGTATTCTCTGTATACGTATGGAATACATCATTTGTGGTATATATTCTTTGTTCTCTTGTAAACGTGTGCTCAGTCGGGTATTCCAAGACTATTGTCTGACTGAGACATTTGCAGCTGCAAATAAATCAGTGTTTGCTTCCTGGAATCCGTGTCCATTCTCTTATGTGCTTCTTAGCCTTGAGTTCCTATAACAATTTAGTGCAAAGTACACATTGTGGGTTATCATTT